TGAGTTAGTTTCTTAATGCTGAGTTCTAATTTGATTGCACTGTGGTCTGAGAAACTGTTTGTTATGATTTCCATTCTTTTGCATTTGCTGAGGAAAGATTTACTTCCAATTATGTGGTCGATTTTAGAGTAAGTGCAATGTGGTGCTGAGAAGAATGTGTATTCTGTGGATTTGGGGTTAAGAGTTCTGTAAATGTCTACTAAGTTTGCTTGGTCCAGATCTGCATTCAAGTACTGGATTTCCTTGTTGATTTTCTGTTTCGTTGATCTGTCTAATATTGACAGTGGAGTGTTAAAGTCTCCTACTATTATTGTGTGGGAGTCTAAGTCTCTTTGTAGGTCATTAAGGACTTGCATTATGTATCTGGGTGCTCCTGTATTGGGTGTGTATATATTTAGGATAGTTAGCTCTTCTTGTTATATTGATCCTTTTACCACTATGTAACACCCTTCTTTGTCTCTTTTGATTTTTGTTAAAGTCTGTTTTATCAGAGACTAGGATTGCCACCCCTGCTTTTTTTTGCTCTTCATTTGCTTGGTAAATCTTCTTCCATCCCTTTGAATCTATGTGTGTCTTTGCACATGAGATGGGTTTCCTGAATACAGCACACTAATGGTTCTTGGCTTTTTATCCAATTTGCCAGTCTGTGTCTTTTAATTGGGGCATTTAGCCCATTTACATTTAGAGTTAATATTGTTATTTGTGAATTTGGTCCTGCCATTTTGTTACTGGCTGGTTTTCTTGCCCGTTAGTTGACTCAGTTTCTTCATTGCATTTTTGGTCTTAGCCATTTGATTGGCATAATTTCTTCATTGTGTCATTGGTCTTTACCATTTGGTTCTTTTTCGCAGTGGCTAGTACTAGTTTTTCCTTTCTGTGTTTAGTGCTTCCTTCAGGAGCTCTTGCAGGGCAAGTCTGGTAGTAACAAAATCTCTCAGCAATTGCTCGTCCATGAAAGACTTCCTCTAGCCTTCACTTATGAAGCTTAGTTTGGCTGGATATGAAATTCTAGGTTGAAAATTCTTTTCTTTAAGGATGTTGAATATTGGCCCCCACTCTATTCTGGCTTGTAGGGTTTCTGCTGAGAGATTCACTGTGAGTCTGATTTGCTTTTCTTTGTGGGTGACTTGACCTTTCTCTCTGGCTGCCCTTAGTATTTTTTCCTTCATGTCAACCCTGGTGAACCTGATGATTATGTGCCTTAGGGTTGTTCTTCTATGGGAGTATTGTTGTGGTGTTCTCTGTATTTCCTGTATTTGAATGTTGGCCTGCCTCACTGGGTTGGGGAAGTTTTCTTGCATAATATCCTGAAAAGTGTTTTTCAGCTTGGATTCATTCTCCCCGTCACCTTCCGGTACAGAGATCAGGTGTAGATTAGGTCTTTTCATGTAATCCCATATTTCTTGAAGGCTTTGTTCATTTCTTTTCACTCCTTGTTCTCTTTTCTTGCCTTCTCATTTTATTCCATTGATTTGATCTTCAATCTCTGATATCCTTTCTTCTGCTTGTATTTGGCTACTGAAACTTGTGTATGCTTCATGAAGTCCTTGTGCTGTGTTTTTCAGCTCCATCAAGTCATTTATATTCTTCTCTAAGTTGGTTAATCTAGTTAGCATTTCGTCTAACCTTTTTTCAAGGTTTTTAGTTTCTTTGCATTGGGATAGAACATGTTCCTTTAACTCAGAGAAGTTTGTTATTACTCACTTTCTGAAGCCTGTTTCTGTCAATTCATCAAATTTATTCTCCATCCTGCTTTGCTCCCTTGCTGTTGAGCAGTCGTGATATTGTGGTGGGGGAGAGACGGGTCCCCCTGCTGCACAAAGCCTGCAAGGCCGAAAAAACTCTCATTCCAGAGTTAGGCACCCAGAAACTCAGTGAGAGAGTGACCAGGAATGATCCAGCTCTTCAGGCCAAAGGGAAGCCAACATTGCAGAAGCTGGTCTAATTTTCCTGAGTAAATAAAAGACGCAGCAGCTCCACTGAATCTGTGACAGCCCAGCAGCATTTCTGCAGGAAGTCAAAGGAAAGGCTGCTTCCCCAAGCAGCTACCTGAGATCAAAACTACATGAATCCAAGATCTGGGAAGAAACCAGCACAAGAAGAATAAAACCATCAAAAACATCTTCCTCTTTCTTCCGTTGAAATCATGGCTCAAGCTCCATCACAGAACTGAGTTCATTTTGTCTTGCATTAAAGGTAGTTGACTTTACCTGCTTCTCTCTCATTTAAACTTTCTAAGGACAGAGACTACATCTGATTTATCTTCACTCAAGAGTGCATGACAGTTTCCATTGTATGAGTTAAACATTGGTAAGAATTCCCTTTACACATATTATAATTCAAAAATGAAAAATTATATGGTGCCAAGTGAAGTTAAAACTGTTAGGTATCATCAGAGTTAGTGTAAAATCCAACTTAAGTACTCAACTTACTCTGATTTAGCATTTGCTGTGTTTATGGTACTGGGAGAGGCATGAGGAATTTAAGCAATGACTAAAACAGTTTCTCTGTGAATCACTAAACTTTATATAGAGAAATAAATCCCTATCAGTGACCTCTGGACAGTGACAGTAGAAAGAAGTATGACTGACTCAGCATAACCCCAGCAGGGCCTATAGGCTAACCTCTTTCTACAGCAATTAGGCAAGAGCCTGCTTTTTAGGGATATAAAATTATTTGCCACAGTTCCAACCTGGTTCTCCCCATCTCAGTAGACCAAGCTCACTTGTAACCCCATCAACTCTAATACATGGTATACTTCCACTGGGTTTTTGCCTAGGTATACCTAGTAGATTAGTGCACACTTCTCCCCATTTCCCCATTCCAGGTTCAACAGCAATTTCTGCCCCACTCCAGGGTCAAAGAAGAAAGCAGTTCAGATTAAAGTAAGCCAGCTGTAGCCCTAGTGTCAAAAATAAAAATCAAAAAAATGTGTTCTTGATAAAATTAAGTTTTACTCATCTGTAGCCTTTAAGCGCTCTGCTGAGCAACTGGAGGTCATCAGCAACTGCTAGGTCAGCTAGCAGAAGGTCTATAAATGGATGATGTTACTTTGCTGAGTGATTAAAATTAGTATTTGCCTTAGGGCTATGCTGAATAATTACAGTTAATTGAATTACAGAAATGGCTATATATAATATATATTTTTAATACAAACAATGTGCATGGCCATTTTGTTTGGCTTTAAAGCTCCTTGCAATATGATTTTAGTAAATGTGAGGGTTGAAAGTCTTTTATACCTCTAGAGATTCTGGTATGAAAATGTCTCATTTTTTTTTCTTTTTTCCCAGATTTAGTTCTATGATTTTAACACATTTGAATTTAACCCATGAGGATTCTCTGAATATTTTCATTAGATTACCAAACAATTGCTAAAAAATGTAAAGCCATATGTTCTAAATACATGCATATGTAGCTAATATTTGTTGGTCAGTTAGTTTGTGCCAGGCCTTATTTTAAATACTTTTTGTGAATCAACTCATCAAATCCTCACATCTCTAGAAGCAAGTACTATTCTTATTTGCACTTTATAGATGAGAAAATATGGCACAGAGAGGTTAAGTAATTTTCTCAAGGCCAAACAACAAGTGAGCTGCAGAGTGAGGGTACTAATCAAGGCACTCTGGGCTATAGTGTCTGCATCTTAACCACCAGGCTGTATTGCTCACCCTGTGCCAGTTATTGGTTAAATGCTCAATTCTCATAAACCCTATGGATTGACACTACCATTATGATTCTCATTTAATAATGAGGGAGTTGGTCCAACCAAGATGACTCTTCTAGCAAGGGGTTGAACTACACTTTTAAACTCAGTCCAGATATCTTAATTACCACACACTACTGCCTCCTAGAAAAGGTGGTGGTCTTATTTTTTCAATCTTGTATAGCATTAGAGATTAAAGAGATTCTAAAGAAATTAGAAATGATTTACTCAAAGAGTACAGTGGTTATCTGGTCATAATCATCTAAAGTATTTTTAAAATGTTAAGCTAATTACTAGACATTTTTTCCCAAAATACTTAAATACTATTAAGTTACTATTTAATGTCATCATTCTAAAGAACAGAGATCAAAATACTATGCTTAAAAATTAGTATGGGCCAGGTGCAGTGGATTCCACCTGTAATCCCAGCACTTTGGGAGGCCAAAGCAGGAGGATTACTTAAGGCCAGGAGTTGAAGACCAGCTTGGGCAACAGAGCAAGGCTCTGTCTCTACCAAAGTAATAAATAATAATATTAATAACCACGTGTACTAGTGCATGCCTGTAGTCCCAGTTATTTGGGAGGCTGAGGTGGAAGGATCACTTGAGCCCAGGAGCTTGAGGCTTCAGTGAATCATGATCCCACCACTGCACTCTAGCCTGGGCAATAGAGTGAGACCCTTCCTCAAAACAAAACAAAACAAAAACAAACACAAATTAATGTGGTAATTCATCTGTTTATGCAACTCCACAGAGTAACTACAATGATCTCAAGAGATATGTGAACATTTAAAAAAAATAAATTTTAACGTATTTTGATTATTCCAAGTGTAAAATGTAGTATTGGGTACAGCAGGTAAGAATATCATAAAACTTTAAACACATCACCACAGTATTATAAAAACATAATTGTTATATTAGTATAATTTTAATTCTTATTTATATTAGTATTTTGCTAAATGAGAGGATTTGTCATTTGTCTCCGAAAAATTAGTATTAATTTGCTAGCCAAGTTATGATCCAATAAGATTAAAAATTTATAGAAAAATATAGATGGTTGTTGTTATTTTTGTTTATAAGGACATTCCCACATAAATCTATCCTTTCCTTCTTATCTGAGTTCATATTTAGAGTACTGGTTTCCTTTACCCTTTGTAACCACTATTGCAGGATTTTAAATATCTTGCTAAGAACTGAATGGCAGAGGATAGAGTTCATTACATGAGTATTGTGGCATAAACTTCAGCCAGATGGTTTGTCACTTGTGGCTTATTGTGAGTCAATTATATTTTTATTACCTTTAGGGCCTTTGAACAGTTTGATTTCCACAACGGTCTCCAAAATAGGTCGTCTTCTACGCACATACAGCCGAACGATAGACCCCGCTTCCTTGAGGGCTTCCACTGCCTTACTGTGGGAAACCTCTGACACGTCAACCTCATTCACCCGCAAGATACAATCGTTGACCCTGCAAGGAAGGAAAAGAGTCAAGATTCAGAAGTGGCTAGCAGGATTTCTTAAAGATTATTATTATGATCATCTAACCTTAAGAAGTGGGAAAGCAAAGAATCTAAGAAATTTTAAAATATTTAAATTTGGAAGGATACTTCAAATGAAGGAAATCTAGAAAATGTTAAATTCCTCAAGCCTCCTTAGCCTTCTTCCCAGCCACTTTGACCACACTACTGGTCAGGTCCCATCCGAAACTCCAGTCCACTTTGACTGGGACTGCTTCACATGTGGCACACTTAGAAGGGCATGTATTTTAAGGCCTATGTCAGTTATATCATTATTTTAATTGGTTTGACTGACAGTTACAATTTGAGTGGTTCTCAGAGCTTATTACCATGAACTACACAGATATAACAAATATAATTAAAGACTAATTTTCTCAAATTTTTAATTTTCTAGTTATAAAAGTAGTAAGTAATCATTTTCAAATACGTGAAAAATACAAAAATGTAGAGAGAAGAAAAAATACACTTGACTCAATCATCTAAAATAAACTCCTTAAGTTGGGCGTGGTGGCTCATGCCTGTAATCCCTGTACTCTGGAAGGCCAAGGTGGCTGGATAACCTGAGGTCAGGAGTTTGAGACCAGCCTGACCAGTATGGTGAAACCTCGCCTCTACTAAAAATACAAAAATTAGCTGGGCATGGTGGCATATGCCTGTAGTTCTGGCTGCTTGGGAGCTGAGACAGGAGAATTGCTTGAACCCCGGGAGTGGAGGTTGCAATGAGCCAAGATCGCACCACTATACTCCAGACTGGGAGTCAGAGTGAGACTCCATCTCAAAAAAAGAAAACAATAAAAATAAAAATAAAATAAAATAAACCTGTTAGCTTTCTGGTAAATTATCTTCCAGTGTTTCCCCACTCTCCTCTCTGCCTCAATTCATCTCATAATATTATAAATACTGAGACTCAGATTTACAAAGTTCAAGGAGAACCTCAGACAGTCCTGTTCCTAGGTGCTTACTTTGAAAACTAAGAACCGCAACAAATTCTACATCAAACTTTTCTCTCTCTCTTTTTTTTTTTTTTTCATTTTCACACATAAAGGAATAATCTGACATTTCCATAAACTTTTCCAGGTAGTTTAAAGTTATGTGGCCATCGACTCCAAATACCATTTATGTTCATGATAATAATTAACGATAACATTAATGATGGTTTACAGCATGGGGCTTGAGAGTACAAAAATTTCTTTCCCTCCCTGTGCATATCCATTCTAGTGTCCCTAATCTCAGATCACCATGTTGCTCAGAGTCAAATATGAGGGGCCTCCCTTGCCCGACTCTTCTTTTCCCACCATCACACAGTCAGATCTACCTGCAAGTATTATCTCAGTCCATCTAGATTTCTTCCTCCTCATTGTTACCACCCTGGCTGAAGTCAACATCGTCTTTCACCTGAACTACCTCCACAAACGCCTACCTAGTCTTTTTGGATTCTCTCTTGTTACTTCTTAATCCATTCACTACACAGTGGCCAGGGTACAGTGAACATGGCTGGTTGCTTACTCAACTTCCATTCTCCACTTTCTGCTTCCAAACGGTGTCCAGTTTTGATCAGGGGGATCTTTCCTTACCAAGTATTTGTTGAATGAATGAAAGAATAAATTTAATTATTGGGTCTTCCATGTCCTAAGTTTGTAGCCATAATTAATTTCCTTAGCCTCTCTAAGCCTCATCACATTCTCATCTGTAAGTTGGTCATGATAGTAATATCTATCATGAAGCCTTCTGGGGAAGATTAAATGAGATAAAGCACATATAGCCACTTAGTACATACCCTGTTATGTAATGAGCACCTAATAAACGTTATTGATAGCAGTGCAACATTTGTTGATTTATAATATTCTCAATTATTAGTTCCTCCCTATAACTTTGTGGAATAAGACTTATTATCTACATTATAGAAATGAGAAGACTTCCAAGCGATTAAGTCCTCTGTTTAAAGCTGTCAGCCATTTGAGCAGAGACTGGATTTGATTTCAGGTCTTCCTATTTCAAAATTTGAGCTTTTCCCTTTTAGGGCCACATGAATCTAATGTGATTAATGGTTTCATGTATGTTGTGTATATCAATTCAAAATGATGACTATAATGGAAATGTTATATGAAAAGTATGGGAAGAATTTTGTATCTGTTTTTGCCTGTAACTTTGAATACTTGTTTGAGGAGGCGAGTTATAGGAAACCATGGCTCAATAAGAACACAGAGCAGTCTCAAAGTCTTGAGATGGAATATTTCACTTCCTAAGATTCTGTGATGTCATTTCATCATAACAGATGCTATGGCTTTAATAGGTTTACACATACATTTCCTCTCTGATTGACAAAAAACAATCAAAAAAAAAAAAAAAAAAAAAAAAAAAAAAAACCAAGAACAACAAAAAACCACGGGAAACTACCAATTAAAATAGTTTTGAGAATGTAGGCATCATGGGTGCCAGCTGCCCTGCAGCAGCTGGTCTTTTGAGAGTGGGTAATTTTGCCACCTCATAATGCAAAACATAATGTTTACCATCACCCTATGCTCAGAATACTAATTATATCTTAAAACACTGCTTTTCATAGAAGGAAGTGGCTGACATCAAAAAAAATTCTGGAGGCTATATCTATTTGGACTCTATTATTATTTTTTTCTTTTTATACAGTGGGATCCTTAATTGTCAATTGCTGGTATGAGGAAATCATAGCCTAAATCAGATGTTTGTTCCTGAATATGTGAATCAAGTAGGCAGCCTTAGTACTAGCAGTCAAGAGGCCTGGATTTGAGTCCCAGCTCTTTACATCTGTGGGACCATGCTCAGGCCATTTTATCTTTTTGAATTTCAGTATCCCCTGAAAAGAGAGAGCATGTCCAGAGTCAGTGAGAGAGTAACTGTACTGTGTAATACTGTGCAGAAGTGTACCCATAGCTGATGTGTGGAGACGTGTACACTGAAACATACCATAGATTTGAAAGTTCTTGCTATTGAGTGGGTCAAAGATGTGCTCATGTTTGTTGAAACATGAACAGTATGGAAATTTAAACTTTTAGGGACATACTATATGCAATATTAGTCAGTCATTTCACTTATCTGTTCTTCAACAATTTATAAAGCATAGATCCCTATTTTATAGACAGTGGAATTTTACTGACAAGGTAAAAGTGCTGGTGAGGACAGGGACATAATTTCAACCTGGTTTTACTTTTTCTAGAGCTTCTACTGATACAAAGATACTCAGAGTTGATTGTTTTAATTATTTTTAATGGTGGTGTTTGTAGGGGGAGGTGGGGCAGTTTACATTCAAATTCTCAAAATAGAGAGGAAAGTATGTCAGGCCAAACTAGGGCACCCAACTTCCCTTCCTCCCAGTAACTTGAAATAGAATTTGGCTAGAGGGTCATAGCTATTTAAAATTAATTTGCTCTCTTTACCAGTAGATAACCTTTGTGAGTAACATCATCACCTGTATTCATTTTGAAGCATATAAATATATAATTAGCTTCAAAGTCAAGAAATACTTTGTCACAGTAACAAACGCAACTTTAGTCATATTTCTGAGGGACATTGTTTTACGAAGCCATGAGTTCAAGACCAGCCTAGGCAACAAAAGCATCTCTAAAAACAAAATGTTATTTACAAATACAGACTTACTCCCAACTCTCACTCTACCAATCTAATTAAGTTGATAATTTCACTCTTAGTGCTTCATGTTACACACATAAGTCTACAGTACTCATCTGCAGCAGTTTCATCTTTTGAACCAGAATTGTCTGCAATATCAAAGGATTATTTTTTCTAGAACTTCCTTTAGAAATCCTGGTGCACTTCCTTGCCAAAAATATCTTAGAAACAAAAAAAAAAAATAATCTATCATTAACCTGTATTCACAGAGTCACTTCTAAATTTTGCACTAAATCAAGTATTTTCTAACATGGCATAGCATCACTGAAAAATAAAATACTTAGTGAATTACTTGTTCTACTTTGACAGTATAAAGTAACAGGTAATATCTATTCTTTCAAGGTATAAAAATATGTTCTGCTGTTAAAATAAGATTTGTGATTTTATGTTTTTAAGTATGTTAATTCATTTAAAATGACCACCAAATCACAGTAAGTGTTAAAAGTTAAAAAAAATCCTATACAGTATGCATAAAACACACTGGAAGGAAAGATAGCAGTTTTAGTTTGAGTCCTTTCTGGATATGGAGATTATAAGAGCTTTAGAAAGCACATTTCTACTTTTATGTTTCTTTCAAATGTTTTATTTTGGACATCTATCATATCAGAGAACCTAAAAACATGGGCTTGGGACACTCGGTCACAGCCAGATACACTTGGGAGCTGTGTGACCACAGACAAGTCACTTGACATCTCAAAGCCTCAGTTTCCTTATCTCCAAATAGGGATAATGAGATTATTATCAATTGATTGTTACTGTTATTGAGAGAATACACGTGAAATACATAGCATAGTACCTGAAAAATAGTAAGCATAAAAAATGTGAGCTATCATTATGAAAAAGAGACAACCATTTGCATAAAAGAAGATATAAAGACACTATAGTGAAGGAAAAAAATACTAAAGGGAGAGAAAGAAAGAGCTAAGTCAAGATGCTGAAAGTGATTTTAAAATTTTGTATAGGAAAGGGAGAAAGAGAAGAGATGAATGAGATCTTTGGAAGAAAAAAATAGTGTTTTTAAGCATAGCTTTGGTAAAAAAAAAACAGACACAAAGACTATTGGAACAGCCTAGAAATAATGCTGCACACCTACAGCAATCTGATTTTCAACAACACTGACAAAAACGAGCAATGGGGAAAGGACTCCCTATTTAATTAGTGGTGCTGAGATATCTGCATAGTCACATGCAGAAGATTGAAACTGGACCCCTTCCCTAAACAATCTATAAAAATCAACTCAAGATGGATTAAAGACTTAAATATAAAACCTGAAAATATAAAAACCCTGCAA